CACCCTAACTACTGGTGGCTTCTAATCTTGCCCGGAACCTGGCTTTATGTACTGTGCTCTGTCCCTTCCTGGACCAGAATCCCTTATCATAGCACATTATGCCTTCTTTTGTCTTTATTAAATGTTTTTTTTTTCAAATATTCTGTCTCAATTTCAGTTCATTTCTTCACATCTCAAGCCTCACGTTCCCCTCTGCTCCTGCGCTAAACTCTCAACCAAATGTCACCCATTGAAGTCCCTTCGCATCCACTCCCGTCTTGCCGAGCCTCTTTCCTATCATCAACTTACCAGTTCTGACACCATTGCTGTTTTCTTGCTCAACTTGACTTTTTCCTTTACCTATGCCTTCCCTGCATTTTTGAAAAGAAATCACCTGAACAGAGATGTTGCTAGGAGTGATCAGTGTGCTACTTTGACATTGAGCTCAGATTTTAAAAATCCTTCACACCTCACAGTGTAAAACTCTGAAAGGTAAGGTGCTTTGGATAAGTCTTTACATCTTAAGCACTGAGCTGGTTACAAATTTCCTTTCACTGGGTACTTTAATATGAAAACTATAGATTACACCTGAAAATGTCCCTGTAAAACCAAAGATTAAAGCATAAAGCTATCCTTAGAGGAACAGAGAATGCTGGAACAAATGCTTGGAAAAAAATACGCTTACTAGCTTGTTTTAGAAGAACTTGTGAAATTATGACTAGTACATGGCTTTTGTCAGCTAGAGATTTGATAAGATGATTAAATGACACCATCCTAAAATTTTATACAAGAAAAATCTTTTCCTAAGAAATCTCACAGAGCATTTTATTTCTATGCAATCTTTGAAAAATAAAGTAACATTCACTATATATACCTTTTCACAAATTGTAGTTGGAATTAGGATTAGAGATCAAATTTATTTGTTAATGTAAAGGTCACTTTAAAAAGTTCATGGAAAGATTCATATTATCTCTCATTTCTATTTTTTCACAAACTTTTAGGAGTACACTCATACATATTAGATGGTATGAGTATTATATGTCTGTTATAAATCTGTTACACCTTCAGTTTAGTGTTTTTGAAGATTTTATGTGGAACTTCATTTAAGCAGAAACTGTACATTTTATCTGTAATTTCTGCTATTGCTGAATACATACCTTGTATGGCAAATCCAAATGCTCTCCCAGGTGCCCCTAGATTACAGAGAGGTTTCCCTATATATATATAATAATAGAAAAAAAAATGAGACTCTTTCTTAAATGTTGGTTTAGGTGACTAGAATCCAAATTTTCTTTTTTGATATTAGAATGGAAACATGGCAATACAAATCTATTTAAAAATGGTTAACTTCTGAAGGCCTTGAAGCTGCAATCCCAAAGTCACTGTCTATAATTTCTGAGAATTCTTTGAGATTTGGAGAGGAAGTAACA